TGACTAACATCATTTGGAGAAGCAGTGAAAACTTCAGTGTACTCGACAGCAGTGCACATACACGATCCCGTCCACTATTGAATTCAGAACGTTTAGGTTTCATAGAGAGCATATTACGCAATCCAATGGTCCCCAACTTGGTTTGTCAAAATGTAAGACATCCTCAGGCACTGAAATATTATTCACAGTTATTACCAAAAGTGTTATTTAGTTAAAATGAAAGGGGAGAAGAATTCGTGTGGTAGAGATAATGTCAAAAGGAGTGACTAAAAACGGAATAACCAGGATAACATGAATCAATCCATACGAATTTACTTCATTAGCACATCCACCAGAGAATGGATTATTTAGTTATCCCTTGAGTTTTCAGAGGAACATAGGGCTTCAGTAGCACAGAGCCATTTCACTCTCTAATCTGCAGTCTTTCTTTTTAACCTGACTGCAACACTGACAAGAAGCTTTTATTTCTTCCTTACACGATCTCCTCCATATCAACCTCGGATGCCCAACTCGTCCTTTACCATTTAGCTACCACTCAAGGGTCTGGAGCGTGATGTCCTCAAGCGGTCTTCTCAGTGTATATCCGAACTGTACGCTGAGTGAACACACACACACACACACAGGTGATCGATAGACAGACAGTCCAATATACATTGGTTGTCCGATGGCCTTGAGTGTAGTCAATCAATAATTCATTCTAGTGTTTACATACATCTCACTCAATAAACTGGCTTCACCACTTCCCAGAAGCTTTCATTTTCTCCTCACACGATCTCCTCCATATCACCTTTGGACGCCCAATTCGTCGGTCTGGCACGTGATGTCGACTAGCGCCCATATTATTTTTGTTTTAATATATCCACACACACACACAGGTGATCGATAGACAGACAGTCCAATATACATTGGTTGTCCGATGGCCTTGAGTGTAGTCAATCAATAATTCATTCTAGTGTTTACGCGTACATCTCACTCAATAACACATCATACTATATCGAATGAAACTTAATAACTTCGACATCATCACTAATCTATTCTGAAATACAAATGTCTACCAACAAGAGACTCTAACTGTTACTTGATGATTACATCATATATTAGCTGAAAATATTCATTTTGAAATGCAAAAATTCAGCATCATTTGCACGGAAGAATAGAATTTCGCTTGAAGAAAGTGTACGGGAAATTCATCCATCTTGTTTTATTGTAACCCCATTCTGTATTCACTTTCTCATTGAACTTTTTCAATATATTTTATGAAGGTTATTCAGTTGAATGTTTTTCAGCTATCCCAGCAGTTTTTATTGGACAATTTATAGCATTATTTGTTCCCTGGGTTCCTAGTGGAACATAGAGTTTCAGTGACATGTAGCCATTTCACTCCATTCTCAGAAGTATTTTGAACTTGGCTCCACGAAGGTCAAGAAGCCTTCATTTCTTCCTCACACCATCTCTCCCATGTCACCGTCAGATGGCCAACTCCTCGTATCTCATTTGGATTCCACTGAAGGGCCTAGCGCGTGATGTCCTCAAACCGTCTTCTCACTCTATGTCTAATCAATCCAATTCATCTCTACTTTCTTCTTCTGCATATTTGTTGGGTGAAAGCTTCTTGGTCGGTTCGTTCGTTACCAGCCAGCCATAGTTCCTCCTTGCTTATTCTTTCTGACCACCTGATCTTCACTATTGAGTGAGCGTAAGCAGCAGCTGTTGATGATGTATGTGTACAGTTGGTTGGAAATGCTTTTCGTGACACACCTAGTCTCTCAAACATCACAATGGAGCGCTGACTTACTTGACTGAATTAGTGTTTAAAATACGGATGTTGTTCACGCTTTATGCTAAGTGCAATGCAGTCCAGTAGATCTCCACACTGATTTCAGATTAATGAAGGAATGCCTATCTTGATGTCTTACCGATCTGCAATTTACAATAGCATATTATTATTATTTTTTCCTTGGGTTCCTAGTGGAACAGAGGGCTTCAGTTGCACCTCTCCATTGAACTTTCTTCTCCGCAGTCTTTTGAACCTCTCTCCATGACTACCCACAAGCTTTCATTTCTTCCTCACACCATCTCTTCCATATCACCCTCACCTGGGACGCCCAACTCGTCCTCCCCCCTTGGATTCCACTTGACGGCTTAGTAAACCTCGTTTTTTACAAGTCCTTAATGCTTTAGGAACTAGTTGATTCAATTCATATATTCCTCGGATAAAAACACAAAGATACTTCAAGATACTATTGGTTTTAACTATTTCTCAGTGTTAACAGAATATTAGTTACAAAGCTTACTATGTAGACCATTAGTAAAGTAATCCAATATTATGATGCATTGAGTTCATTGTTAAATAATTGAACCTAATCCTTTGTAAGTTCTTGCTGTTGATTTTCTGATGATTACTGAAAATACCTATCAAGACACTTTAAAGAGACCGAGAAGTTCAGCAAAAATATTGCTTCATTAAAACAAAAAAAAATTGTGCATAATATGAGAGATATAGAGATCGATATGTTATTAGAAACTTATCAGGTTCAAGGTAGCAACTAAGGTTGAACAATTTTATTTTCTACACATGATTCATATTTCTGTCTATGCAAGCAATAAGAACTTTTGCATTATAGAAAAAGGCGAAAACGTAGCATTGCTTGGGAATTTCTTTTCATCTTATAGATGACTTTGAAAGCTGAATAAATTGTAATACTGAAATGAGTGTTGAACTAACTGCTCAATAATTGTACACTTCTCATATAGATCACCTTTCATTTCTTTGTAATCATGCATGATAATGCTCACTTACTCGTTCGTTCGTACCAAGCATGGAGTGGATCAGATGCAGAAGCTTATCTTTCAGATTGTAAGGACACAGTGAACGACTAAAGAATACTATTCTCAAGGTTGACAGGAAGAAATTTCTTTTTTTAACGAGTTTAAAATTCTTCTTTTCAAGATGTTAGTGAAGTAGTCACCTTTGAAATCAAGACTTACTGTTTGCACGTAAGAGTAGAAACCCTTTTAAAAAAGTGAAAGGGATATTTATTCTTCTTAATTGTAACCCTTTAAAATAATTTTAGACATGAGTGACAAAGTCAAATCTTTAAAAGCATCTAATATTTCACTTCGTTTTGTATTCATTTTCTTCTTCTTCTTCTTCAAAAATTGATCTTTCAGTTAGGATTTTACTGGCTTACGTTTCAATATCATACCAAACATCATTGGAGCTTTGCATAGAAGTGAAGTAATCGGTTATGTATGCATTCTTTGCTTTAGTGTGATTTCATTGGTCAATTGGTAAGTGTATGTGGAATCTGATTGGTTGATTTCCTTATTCATTCAGTGTACAATCACTAAGTATATGATGAATTCACAACGAAATAATTGCGCTAATTCGGATATTCTAGTCTCATTGATAGGTATAATTATTATTATTTTTCCCTTGGGTTCCTAGTGGAATATAAGGCTTCAATAGCACGCCTCCATTCCACTCTCTTCTCTACAGTCTTTTGAACCTCGCTCCACGACTGCCCAAAAGCTTCCATTTCTTCCTCATATCATCTCCTCCATGTATTTCCCAGAGTTTCTCGTTGCTTATTCTTTTTAGCCATCTGATCACCATCTTCAGTATCGAGCCAGCGTAGGCAGCTGTTGATGAATGTCTGTAGTTTGTTTGAAACGCTTTTCGTAACGCGCCAAGTTTCTGAACCATCACATAGATGCACTGACTTGACTGACTCAGTGTTGAAAATCTGGATCTTGTTCTTTGCATCGAGTGCAGTAGATCTCTATACTGATATCAGGTTAATGAAAGCCTGTCTTGCTGTGTTTTCAATCCTGGTTTTTAAAATCCCCGTCTGTGCCACCGCCTGTAGTTGAAACGATACTGCCTTGCCTAGGTAGGTGTAGGCTTCTCCCCTTAGTAGTGATTGGTGTCTCTTGTTGTTCATGCTGTTGTTGGTTTGGTGTCTCCATCACCTCCGTCTTCTCTATATATTCACTTAAAGTCCCATCTTCGCTGCCCTGCCTCCTTTGTCAACTTGTTAGTGTTTGCTTGTAGATCTTCGAGTTTGTGGGACAAGACATTAGACGTAAATCATCAACATCAGCAAAATCCATATATTCTAAGATCTTTTGTCTTTGCGCGCACTCTTCTTCACTTCCTTGTCCAGTGTTTTATATGTTGTACTCAGTTCTCCTTTTCGTTGTGCCTCCTTGCACTGGTTCATCTTCTGCCTCACCATCTTCCTCTTTTCTATCAGCTTCCATGTGTCCGTTGAGATCTATTCCTCTTTTTCTTTCTTCCTAGTACGGTTATGCAGGTAGGTATAAACGACATGTATATTCGTGAAAAAGGCAATGAGGCTACTTAAACTTCGATACGCAGCGCAGGGTTCGGACGCGCGACCCAGTCATTGGAGACGTCTAGATAAACTTCACAAAAAAACGACTTTGTGGTAAGGGGTTAGTCATCATCTGAATAACCAACCTGATGGTAGAACTACTACCTGACTTCATCAAATACGAGACACCTTATAGGTATCAACAAACAGAAATCCCAGATTTAAGGAACTGTTTCTGACTGTGACTTTCACCAACTAACATAAGAACTTATGACAGTATATTATAGCTAGTTTACAGTAGCAATCGGAATGGAATTCCGTTTTCCCGCATTTGGGGGAATGAGATAACATTCAATATTTTTACATGAAGTTACTACATGAATGATTCTGGGGGCGATACGTTTTTATTATATACAACATTTGGAATGAACGCACATGTGCGAAGATGCGAACATGAACAACGGATAATCCATGTTGTAGACTTGCGATCCATAGGTCCAAGGAGTCGACTTTCAACCAATGAATGGGTCATACATCCAAGCCGTGCTCCACCGACCAAGATTTAACCAGGCAGATAGTGGTATCACTGGCCAGTTTTCACACAATAGGTTTGACTCATCACCAAGTGTATACTAAAAACATATCCTCCATTGGAGGAAGGTAAGTAGTATATGTAGAGCAATATATTTGAAACAATAATGACAAATAAAATAAGTAAGTAAATAATTAAAAAGTTTTTCAAGTATTCATCTTTTTGGTGGAAAGTGCGAAACACACACACACACACACAAACATAGTAAGGGGGTGGAAAGAGACAATGATAATCAAGGTACACACAGAAAACTAATCCCAATGAACATTCACGTATCCATCTAAGCACGATTAACCGTGAATCACATAGGCTAACCATTCCTAGAAAGATATACATCAAAAATACTGGATTGATACATCTCACATAATATTGATATGCATGAGATAGGTTGAACATATAAAGCATACAAACCACCAATACTACTAACAGCAATTATTAGTAGTAGAAATAAGAAGAGGAAAAAAATCAAAATTAGAAAAAAGGGACAAAATAGAAAAATTTGTAAGAGATAACAACAACTGCACATACATGAAACTGCTGATTGACTTGAGGAGTTTCTCTCTTTCTTTAAAAGAAAAATTTTTTTGTGTATATGTAGAAAACGTCATGATAACTGGCTATTTCTATTGTTATGTTACGAAAGAACTGGTGGGCTTCGATGTGCTTTCCTAATCCATCGACAAGAAAAATAAAAACAAAACGAAATATTATTCAAAACATGAAGTAGAGAAAGAAACTAAAGGAACATATTGAGGTAGTACTCATCATGAACTAACCGATATCAATTGAAAACTTGAGAGCACTAGACAACAACTGTTACGTCTAAGTGTGTAACTCTTCTGGAAGCAGAAATCCACGTTTTCAAATCGCCAGGGATCGAACTCAGGATCTCTTCAAGTTTCCCGGCAAACGTGTTAACAATTTAGCCAGCGGGTCAGAGTCCCAGTTTTCAACTAGTTGACCATACAGGTCACCGCTTCTCATTAGAACTTCGTGATATCCATCTAGAAGCATATCATTCATGAGCACTATACAATAATGTATTTTGAAGTAGTGTTCATCATGTAGCATACAGTTTACCTGAATTCTGCACATAGTTCTATGAAACTACCACAAAAAGATGCAAGTAGTATGATTTAATAGACTAAAGGAGACCCATTGCTGAGCAGAGCCCAATCCCTCTACCTTTGTTGGCAGATGGGCTTACGAAGAGTATGTCTCGATACTGCTGAATATTCATAATAAAGTCAAAGGGTTCGGCCCTGCATAGTCTCTGTGGCAACAATACCATTCACTCACTGACGTGTAGGTACATCCAGCTGATTAGCCACAAATAGGACGAAACGTGAGACCAACTGGATTCCTCTACTGGTCACCAACATCAACACAAAAGAAAACCATTCATAGACGTATTTGACAAAAGTAAGAAATATAAAGTTGTAATAAACCCAGCAATCATACCACCTTCGTGAGTGACAAACTCCAGTCGTAAGATGAACTATGATCAACAGGGTTTAATCAGACAACAACTCTGCGATGGTAGGTGACGCGTAGCTAAATATGCTACTATCATACAGACATAGGCGCGCATAGGTCGTTTCAACAATTAACGAGACGTTGGGTAAAGTATTTCCAAGTAGACCCTTTTCAATTATTATTATTATGAGCACAAAACTGCTCGTTATTCACGGTAAACACAAAAATAAACTTGTGCGAAACAGTTAAGACATTCTGATATTCGTGATGGATACCGGTGACCAGTTTAATTTGCGACGCGTGTTCCGTCTTGCATAGGACTCGTCAGCCTTACACCCAGTGAGTGCTGTCCCCCCCCCTGAGACTCGAACCCGGAGACCGATGGCTTCAAACGCCAGGGCATCATCACTAGGTCACTAAGTAGTGATAGCCTTTCTTTGTGCCACGATCTTTGATGTGATAGCTTCTCGCTTAAGTCCCACTTCCTGGATGCGAAGCAAGCGTAGCAAAATGACGAAACACGCGTCCTGCATCCCACTGCTTTCCATCACATTAAAAATATCAAGACTGAAAATGCCGACAGTATCGAGGGATCCATCACTTCGACCCCGCCAACGATGCGTAGGTATATAAGCTGCAACATAAAAACTAGTACAGCAATCTTATTGAAATTGTGTTCTTCTCACGTCTGCCTATTTTGAAGCTATTGACAGATAGAAAATCGGATTAAGTTGAAAATATGGACCATTGGATTCCACCGAACCAGTGGCTAGCTTCAATGGTAACGTGTTAGCCACAGAACCTAAAGACCCTGGGTCTGATCCCTGGTGCGGTGGGGTCATGAGTGTGCACTGCTGAGGAATCGCATACTAGGACGAAACAGTTGTCCAGTGCTCGGAGAGTTCCAATGCTGCTTCAGTTAAATCCCGGGCAGTAGGGATGAAGTTAATCTCAAATCTTCAACGAACTGATCTGTACGTAATTCTGATTCTACCACTTGTTGAAAGTTCCCTGTCTCCTCTCCTTCTTAGTGTTGTTTATTAGGCTGAGATAAGCACAACTCAATCCATACAACCATCGCTTAAAAATTACATAACAAATAGGAAAAACAATTGAACGAAACAGATTACTAACAAAACAACTAGATATCAAAATGTAACGGAGAAAAAAAACCACGCAATACTAGAATAGACCTGTTTATTTAATATAGACAGCAAACAGTGATAGTTCTTTCTGAATTATTGACCGTGTTACAGGATATACCATTCCATAATTAGCTGATGTTCCGATAATCTAAATGACTTCGATCGGCTAATTTGGCCTATGTTCTTGATCCTAAAGTCATTGCGTGGTATTTCATTATTATTATTTATTTATATTATTAGTCCCTTGGGTTCCTAGTGGAACATAGGGCTTCAGTAGCACGCCTCCAGTGACCTCTGTTCTCTGAGATCTTTTGAACCTGGTCCCACGACAGCCCACAACCTCTCATTTCCTCCTTTTTCTCGTGGTATTTCATAGATTAGATTATTTTGCTTAATTGCGTATATTGGGTCCTTGAAACCATCTTACAAAGCTTATCTCTGAGTGAGTTTGTATGACTTGACTGCCACTTTGCATCCAGTTTAGTTAAGGATTCTATATAAAGTTTCTGGTCTTCCTTTCTACTCGTCTTATCGCTATTATTTTTATTACTGGATTGGAATGAGAAGTCCTGACTAGGCAACCAGTGTCAATACGATCAAACGGTAGTGACGCATCACAAATTCACATGGTAGTCAGGTGATACAACTCTTGCTGATTGAAATGAAATAAAAGTGTGGTAAGTAGTCGGACCTCGTAGCTCAGTTGGTAAGCACCGGACTGGTAACCCAGGTGGTCGCTGGTTCGAATCCGCCCTCGGTCCTCATATTCACCTCACCTTCAATCACCACCCAGTACAATTACTGTAATTATTTCGTCTATGTTTCAGTAGGAATTTCTTAGTAAACTATAGACGCTTGTTTTGTGTATTTCAGTCACTTGTTTAGGTCTTTGCGCTGACTAGTGGAGTTGTCTAGGTCTATCAACTAGACATTTGACTGAACCCACCTTAACTGACTGATATTGGATGAGGTGACTTGAAATTCAGATACCTACCTTCTTCATTTTACTGTGCAGTCCAACATAACTAATTCTCCCTGTTTATTTCCTACCTCTTAGTAAGTATGAATTCGATTTCGCCTACTAATGAGTTTATGTTATATTCGGATTTCAAGACAGGGGTGAATATGTGTCATCTACTGTGTGCTGGCTATAATCAAATAAACAAGTCTACGATGGAATTACATTCTACCACAGTGCCCAAGTTTTACACATATTTTTTTACAAAAAAAAACCATATTGCAAAACGTTTAGTAACAGATTTAGTTGAAAGAATACTACCAATAATAATGGCAACAAATCCACTGTGACATCTAAACCCTTTCCAGTACACCAGTTACCTTTTCACTTATCAACCAACAGAATAATCACTGAAACACTGAAAACTGTTCAGAAATATCTCAAAGCTTAAAACATACTTCTATCCAACGCCAATAATCAAATCTCATCCACCAATAGAAAATGCGTACGGCAAATCACGGTGCTGATCCTCCAGTTCATCCCCCCCCCTCTTCCACCTACCTGCTAAGCAAACTACCAGATAAACCCGAAATGAAAGGGTGGGGAGAGTATAATAGAGGAAAAGGTGACCAACTTTGGAAAACACAAGAAAGAAATAACAAAAAATAATCAACACTACAACCGCCTCCCCCGTTACACGCACACACACACACACACACACACACATTAAAAATGAAAACGCAAATAACACATACACACACAAACAGTATAAACAAACTGATTGACGAACCTTCTGATTACACGACAATTCTACTCTAACTGTAAGGTAATTAAAAGACGAAAGTATAAATTAATCAAAAGTGTAGAGGGGGTGTAGGACAAAAAAAAATCATCACTACTATCAGTTTATACGATGTTTTCATGATAATTGTATCTGTTTTCCAATTATTCATTATCAGTTTTTACTATATAAGATTGCAGACATGGTTTGGCAAACTGAGTGAGCATGGCAATAATGACTGAAGGTAAAATAAACATCTTGGCAGCGGTATGATAAGAGAACCAACCACCTCTGAGTCAACACAACCCAATTAGCTACTGATCAGATCTTGATTTCATTCCAATCATTGTGTTCTGTCCAACTAAGAGTTCTCATACTAATTCAAAATCAAAGTGACTTAGACGGGGGGTTGGAAGTATCATATATTGATTATTAGTTTAATGATCTGAGATAGTAGCCATGGTTTAGCAGAGTTGTGATGACGATACACTGAGGTGGTGACAGAGTACCGCGCTGGTAAGTTGAAGGTCCCTGGTCCGAGTAAATTTTCCATTTCAACACTCCCTGGGTACTACTGAAAAAATCTTCACTGCATTATCATGAAACGTTCATCCTGAAACAAAGTCATAATTGTTCAATATTCTCTAGTTAGTGGATCAAACAAGTGTATATCACACACAAATATGCAGGAGAGAAACAGGTTACTGATAAATTTTGCGCGCTGAAAAATTGACAGAATTAAAACAGACATGATCCATTCAACAGTGACATAAAATATCATCTGAACAATTCCTGGGATAAGCAATTCTATTGATATATTTCGTGAACGAGTACCTCCTCAATGTTGGAACATGATTGGTTATTTCACCAGTTTTTTAGGGTGACTTTAAAACCATTTGACAACACTAAGGGATCCTATTCATTTCAAGGTTTTTCCAATCACAATGAAATACTCCCTGTTGGAATGTTCTTTGTCAAAAAGTAAACCTTTCAGCGTGCAAATATTCATATTAAACAAAACGTCCATGTCAAAGACTTCAAACTGCAGTTTTATGGAGGATTCGGTTGATTTCAGTGTGGTACTGACTAACATCATTTGGAGAAGCAGTGAAAACTTCAGTGTACTCGACAGCAGTGCACATACACGATCCCGTCCACTATTGAATTCAGAACGTTTAGGTTTCATAGAGAGCATATTACGCAATCCAATGGTCCCCAACTTGGTTTGTCAAAATGTAAGACATCCTCAGGCACTGAAATATTATTCACAGTTATTACCAAAAGTGTTATTTAGTTAAAATGAAAGGGGAGAAGAATTCGTGTGGTAGAGATAATGTCAAAAGGAGTGACTAAAAACGGAATAACCAGGATAACATGAATCAATCCATACGAATTTACCTCATTAGGACATCCACCAGAGAATGGATTATTTAGTTATCCCTTGAGTTTTCAGAGGAACATAGGGCTTCAGTAGCACAGAGCCATTTCACTCTCTAATCTGCAGTCTTTCTTTTTAACCTGACTGCAACACTGACAAGAAGCTTTTATTTCTTCCTTACACGATCTCCTCCATATCAACCTCGGATGCCCAACTCGTCCTTTACCATTTAGCTACCACTCAAGGGTCTGGAGCGTGATGTCCTCAAGCGGTCTTCTCAGTGTATATCCGATCCATCCCCATTTTCTCCTTGTTCACATTTGTTGGGTGATAGCTTCACGATTCGTTGCCCTCCACACAGAGTTCCTCCTTGATTATGCTTTCTCGCCATCTAATCTCATCTTCAGTATCGAGCATAGGCGGTAGCTGATGATGTATGTCTGCAGTTTGTTGAGAATGCTTTTCGTAACGCGCCTAGTCTCTCAACCATCACACAGAAGCATTAAGTTGACTGAGTCAGTGTTGAAAATCTGGATCTCATCCACACTTTATGCTGAGGGCAGTACAGTCCACACTGATTATTTCAGATTAATGAAGGGTGGCCTGTCTAGCTTTGCTTTTCCGATCCCGCTTTGACATTGTCACGTGTGACTGTGACGCCTGTAGTTGGGACGATCCTGGCTAGATAGCTAAAAGAGACAATTTCCTTTAGATTTCTCCCATCGATAGTGCTTGTTGTTGTTGGTTGGGTATCTTCATCACCTCTGTCCCCTCTACGTTCACCTGAAGGAAGTCCCGTCTTCTCTCCCTCGCCTCTTCTGCTAACTTGTTAGTGTTTGCTTGTAGATCTTCGAGTTTATGGGACAAGACATTAGACATAAATCATCATCATCGGTGAAATCCAAATCTTCTACGATCATTTTATCGGTCAAACAGCGAGCGTATGCCCATCTTTTCGCTCCTCACAGTTTGTTGTATGATCCAGTTCAGTCGACCACAATCAGGAAGATCATCGGCGATAGTAGGCAACCTTGTCTTACGTCTGTCTTCACTTCAAAGGTATCACTGAGCTTTCCAGGGAATGGATACTGAATACAACCTACATATGTTCAGAACTACAGTCTTTCTAAGGTTCTAATGAGGACTAACAAACTTCTCCACTATGTATTTCATGTTAGCACACTACCTCCCAGCCAAAAGAAGTATATATTCAATCTTTTGAAACAAAAAGCTACACTAAGCTAAGCTAGCAACACATTTTAAAGACAATATAAACAAATGAAGTTGTTGTTTGTTTCTATGTTGAATAGTTGTACTAGTAATTTGTTATACATGGCAGGGATAAAAGTATCCAATCCAGAGGATATGAAGCCATAGCAGCAACAACAATAAACCTCAACTATTTGTGAAAACTGTTGCCAAAACATTATCAAAACTTCACACAATGATTAATATGACTAGTGGTTGGTATAAAATTGTGTTATATTTAAGCGAAAACAACGCAGTCTACGAGCGATGTTACACACACACACACACACACACACACACACACACACACACACACACACACACACACACACACCAAACCCTGGCGTTCACTACATAAGCTATTCAGAGATGAGCAGATAAACATTGATATAAAAAAAGAAAGTGAATATATTTGCCTTCTTCTGTGGAGAAAGCGACCTAGGGTGTAGTACTAGACAGTATAAAAGACGTGTTGTTAAACAATCTACCATCATGGTTAAAATCCTGGTTGATATGCTTTCAAGATTATCTACAGCAAACACTACCTAATCTTTCGAAAGGTATTCCAAC